TTGGCAGCCGATAGGAGACAGCTGGGTTTTTGTCCCTTGCAGAAATTTCCTTCCTTGAATTCTCCTTCCCTCCTAAAGCTCATCAGACATCCCCCCGCCCCGCGAGCCCTCGGGGATGCTCCTCCGCACCCGCTCTCCCCGAAGGGCTGCCCAAGCTGAGCCCAAAACTCCGCTGCCGGGGAAAGCAAAGAAGAAAACCCTTTTATATGATCATCTGATTGCGCTCCCTCTCCCCTGTCTCCTCCTCCTCCTCCTCTCCCCCTCCCCGGGTGTTGCATTACAGCCTTTGGGAGGACGATCCTAGTTTTTTTTAGCCCCAATGACTGTCTGAACTGCTCCGAGATCTGAAGTGACACCCCTTTGCTCCTCGCTCCTGCCTCCTTTTCTTTTCTTTTTCCTTTTCTTTTTTTTTTTTCCCCTTCCCTTCATTAATACTCCAGGCCTGATGCCAAACAGGATGATCCAGGGCTGTCCGCTGCCTGGAGAGCATAAATACCACTGGGGAGCTCTGTGAGACCACAGTGAGACGAGCTGCTGAGCTGAGACCGTGCGCTCCTTGCACCTCCTAAGGCTTATTTCATCCTCTCCCCGTGCTCGTTTGAATATTTTAGATATATAATTTATTTTCCACAAGCAGGCTTGGAGCAGCTGCAACTTCCTGAGGACTTGAAAGTGCTCAGTAAGGTAAGTGCAAGTTCTAGACCCTATTTCTGAAATGTGGTTTTGTGTGTGTGTATGTGTATGCAAGAAATGCCTTGATTTGGTATGCAGAATTTTAGTAACTTTTGCAAAAAGTTGCGTGCGTGCTATGAAATAGCACAACGCTGTCTGAACTTCGTTTATGTGTTCTTCATAGCAACTAATGCAAGATTAATGAACATTAATCTTGAATGAATGGGAAGAGCTTATAAGTACAGGAGCAGACTTTACACAGACAGAAAATGTCTAAGGGATGCTGTAGCAGTCTCTAATAGTTGGCTACTTATGGAAACATCTAGTCATCTCCAAGGAGCGATGTGTTTATGCAAGTCTGCTCTAAAAATTCAATCAAAAGGAATTTAGTGGTGGTGTCACATGTTGTGTCTGTTACTAGTGGGTTTTTAGTGTTTTTTACATAGAAACTCACCCACTCGAGGTCTGTTGGAGTGGATGATAATGAAAGATCTGGGCCTTTTTGTCCACGGCCTTGAAGATGCCGGATCTTTAGTGCACTCGGAGCAAACGATTATACCCTATGTATGTTTTTTTTGAAGCCAACACAGCAATTCTTTAAAGCTTTAAATGTGTACATCCTGATTAAATAGATGAGCTACGGTTTAATGCCTGAAGTATGTTGGGGCTTTATCACTGAATTTATTTGCTCAGGTTAGAAGTTGATCCCAGGCTAAATCCCCTCGGCTTTGCTGGCATCCTGTGCTAACTCCCGCGTTTTCTGGCATCGTCTGCTTGTTCCATGTATAACATCACAGGGCCTTGGATGCATTTGCTACAAATGTCATCCATAACCAAGGGGTAAAGACCCTCTCTCATGCTTAATCAGCAAGCCAGTGAAAGATCAATAGCCGCAAGGTATTAGGGTGAAGCGAGGATACAATCAAACGCAGAAGTGTATCTGCATGTGGCTTTAGCAGGCAATGCTCCATGCCAGCTTTTAAACATTACCAACTCTTCTGCTTACTGTGAAATCCAGACACCATCCATTAGTCTGGGAAATAGCTTTCTAAAAATAACCTTTTTTCAAAGTCCAGTGCCGTTTTCTAACTTCCTCAGACTTCAGAAGAATGCCTCCCCTTCGTCCCCTTATGACACACTGCGGAGGATATTCAGGAGTCGCTTTCTGCCGACTCACTCGTTTCTGATCGCTCCCAGATGTTTACCTGGCAGCAATATCGAGAGCCTCGTGGATTTAGAGCGAGGCTGCACTAATGCTTCCTTTGGACTCTTGAAATAACAGTAGAAACTTGCTCAGCTGACTGTCAGCTGATAAGTTTCCCTGAATAATATCAAAACCCAACTCAAAAGCAATACGCTTTCAATCTGCCCTAATTAGAGGAATTTCTAATGCACCTTGGGACATTGCTGCAGCTCTGCAGGACGCTCAGACTCGCTTAGCTTTAACTTATGTCTGAGTGTTTCGTTGCACCTGGGCATGAGGATATTAAGAGAGGCAAATGGAGGGATGTCTGAATTCAATGAGAGCTTGCTGAAATCATAAGCATCTATCTGCTGGTTTCAATTAAAATGGCCAGGCAGCTCTTTGCTCGCTGACCTGTGCACTGATTTCGTCCTTTCTCTGGATGCTGAGAAAGCATCCCTACCTGGCCCAAAGGCGGAGAAAGCATCTCCCTACCTGGCCCAAAGGCGGAGACGAGGGCCTGCACGCCGAAGCCAAAGTGGAAGAGAAGATAGTGCCAAGGTAGCCTAATTTTAGAGAGCTGCTGATATCTCTTCGCCCTCCAGCGAGATCCAGGGAAGAAGATGCCGAGGAAGGAGGCGGCATCTGTTGTGCAGTTTCGACAGGCTGTCGAGGCGAGACGCCGTCGGCTCCGCTGCGTAGCGATGAGCGGGGCAGATTCGCTTTCGGATGTTAGAGCTGATTTTGGAGGCTGCGCTTTCTGTAAGTTCAGTGTTCGCCTTAAATGGGCGGTGGATACGGCTCCTATTTAGAAAAGGGCAGGCGTCCAAGCGCAGGGGTATAACTGCAGCGTATGTGAGCGGTCTGTCTCTGCCCGCTCTGCCTACGGAGCAGGCAGCAGTTAAAGCCGCTGGTGCTAAATGGCCACATTGTAAACGGCTGCGGCACAGCATCTATTTTTAAACTCTTAGGGAAGTGTCTCAAAGTAGGGATTGTTCCCTGAATTTGGGTCAGACAGTCTACAAAAGCAGCAGCTCGTTTTGTCTCCCTTCCCCCTCTGCAGCCAGGTTAGCAAGTTGGGCTCCTGCTTTCGGGGAGGCAAATGCCAGCAAACAGGTCGGAGAAGAGGATGAGGTTAAAGCAGTGTTTGCCCTGAGGCAACTGCGTGTCCTGTCTTTCAGGTGTGCCTTGAGCCGGGGACAAGGCTTGTGTGTTATACTTGCTCTGCAAAACAGCAAGTGATGAAAAGAGGTTGCCTAAAATTTAGCAAATTATATCCTTGCTTTGTTCTGTCCAAGCAAAGGCTTAACGCTCTGCCTGGAGACTAAAGGCTCCTGGCTGTCGTTCAGCCTTTTTACACTCAGGAAAAACTCAGAGAGGACCTAGTGCTCTTTTGTGTAGATGCCCTGCAGATTTTTGGGAGGTTCTGAATGGTCTTGGAGTTTGGGGGGCTGCACACCTACGCACAGTACCTTCGTGCTTCCCAGCAAATTGCTGCTGTGCCAGGTCTGGGCAACCGGGGGATTTGTGACTTCCTGCTGGGGGGTGACAGCTGGAAGCTGGAAAGGTTTTACCACGTTTGCCAGGTTAGAAGTAGTTCCAACTTGATATGTCCAAGTCACAGGGCTGAAACTTTTAGAATAATTCCTGCTAATCTAGGTTTTATTTCCTGCCACTATACATATGTCTTTTGACAGTGCTTTCAAAGCTAGATCCTCACCTAATAGTAAAGACAGCGATGGGGAATCTTGTTCCAAAGTTCAGGCTTGAGGAGAGAGATGTGCTCACCTTGTCCTCAACGTGCTGTACAGATGTTTCTTGCTCCGTATGAATTGATGCTGTTCTTGTAGCTCTGGGATCCCACTTAAAGAGCATTAGGTGCTGTAGAGACATGCAACAGCAAAGACCTCCTTCTTGAAAGGCTCGTGATCCAAAGAGGACTAGTCGAGATGCACAAGTCTTGTTAGACTGAAAAGTTGGGGTGAGGAAGGGAGGAGCTGTTTGGAAATGACAGGCAGAGCAGGAGGACTATGGCGCACGTGTCTCGCAGGGAGAGGACGGGGATTAAATTCAGCCCAGGCATTCAAACCATCAGCTGTCAGCAGCTGTATAAGCAAGAGCAACTCTCGGGCCGGGTATGCCCACGGTGACGGAGCGCGGGTGGGAATGCCTGATCTCCCGGCTGAGGAGCCAGGGCGCTCTGGCTCCTCTCCTAATCCATTATAACTCTTCCCCCTGGCTACTCTTCCACTCGCCGTAAGGCGGCCCGGCAGCGTCAGTGGGAGCGTGCTGGTGCGTCATTCGCCAGCAGCAATTCTGACCGTTCGGCATGACGATGACATTTCACATAAACAGCTATGTTTTGGGAGTCTGGCAGCTGCTCTCGCGGAGCGTGTTGGCAGGCCCGGGCCTCTGAAATAGCTCTTGCTCATGTCTGACCTCTGCCACTTGGCTTACCGGGGAATTTGCTTTCCCTTTTATTCATATCTGCTCTCCGCTTTGGGAAAATAGATGCAAATGTCTCCCTTTCCCACCTGTGAAGGGACGCAACTTGGAGCTGGGATTACTTAGAGCTCCTGGACGTTGTTGGGTGATGGCTGCAGCTCGGCACGCTTGGAGGAGAAAGCGCCCACCTCTGCCGCTGTGCCTGAGGCAATCTACGAACCGTCACTCCCAGTGCAATGTTGGTGGGGTTTTGCTGCATCCTGTCAAATTTCCATCGCAGAAGATACATGGCGTGGTTTCGGTCCTCTTTTCTCCCATGTAGGCATGAGGGACAAGCCTCACCTGAAAAGCTTTTGCATGGCTAATTCATCTGCAGGTCCTTGAAGTCCCTGTGATTGCTCATGTAGCTGGTAGAAGCTGTGGGAGGTACCGGGAAGATCTAGGTCAAACATATCTTAAAAGCTGAGCAAGGGGTTAGTAAAGGGTAACACAATAAACTGAGTTCCCATCGCTTATGGAGTTGTATAGGTCTTCCCGTAACTGAGATAAGCAATAATTGGTTGGTTTTGTTTGTATTACTCTTTCTCATGCAAAAATCTGAGCTGTGTGGCACCCTTGGAGGTCATGGGCATGGCGAGTTTCTCTGGCATTATTCTGATTTTCTGTCTCCTCCCGTTCCAGGCCAGAACTGAGCGCTAGACGTCCTTGCAAGGCAACCGAAAAACACATCCATCGTCTTTATCTCCATTTTTGCCAGCTTCTGTTTCAGCCATGAATCCTGCCCTGCCTTGGATCTTTCCTCTTGGATGTCTCCTGCTTCTGACAAATGCAGCTGAATGTTTTATTTTGCCCAATTCAAGCCACCTGGAGAGCATTTTGAGTAAATATCAGGATGCGGAACCTCATGCCAGATCCAAGAGAGCCATTTTATTTTCAGACAGACAGGAGATATTGATGCTCCACAATAAATTAAGAGGTCAAGTTTATCCATCGGCCTCTAACATGGAATATATGGTGAGTTGAGCTCCTGATACCTGACTTTATTACAATTTTTTTTTTTTTTTAAACTTCATTTTAGTTTCCCTTATGGTGAAAGCATTGTAGCCAATTTCCTCTGAAATAAGTTTTTCTCAAGAGGTTTCTTGGAGCAATTTCAGTCCACAGTGAATGATGCTTTAGATCATTGGATTGCTTTGGTTGGAAAGGACCACTACTGGGTCATCTCGTCCATCTACTACATAGTTTCAGAACTGGTTCCATTATTCATAAAATACCGTCTAGGCTTGCCCTGAATGTATCTCCAGTGATGGCAATTCCATAGCCTGCCTTAGCAGGTTGTTCCATTACCTTAATGTCGTAAAAGCATCAAATTTTCCATGGTGTTTAACCCACTCTCTGTCAGAGCATTGTGCCTGGTGTTTTGGATCATCACAGTCTGCTCAGAGTAGACAAATGATGGGCAACTTTGGGGTGCTATCAGCTACTGCCTAACACTGAAGGTAGCACCTGTAGCTTTATGATATGCTGGTGACCACAGATTATCAATGCGAGCCAAGTCTTCCTAAGACTAATGGCAGTCTGCTTGGCACCTTAGTCAAGCAGGTCATAAGGAATATGGCATGGAATATATCCATCTGCAAATAAGTTCAATCCATGGAACTCATTGAAAAGACTCTGGTGGAGTTCAAGGGTAGGCGGATAGGTAGTGCTATCGGCTTTTTGCAGCGCGAGGAACCAAAATAAAAGTTTGGTCGATGTATTCTCCCACTTCAGAGGGAGAACATTAAAGTGGGAGTATGAAGTATGCCTTTACCATCAACAATTCAGATGAATAGTTTTTTTTACATGATGCCAGAGACCCTACTTTGAGCTATTTTTGAGATGTCTTCAAAATATTGTGGGGCCAGAAAATGATGTAGGCAAATAATATTTTCTGTGCCTTTTCCCAGTGTGCAAATATGGTTATGACAGAAACTAACCTGACTTCAACTGTGTGCTGCTGCTGACAGATTAGATGATTAATGATTTGTTAAGACCATGTTTAAAAGGTAAAAGAAATAGTATATTAAATATAATTTAGGATTGTTTGCCAACTGTTACTATGTGTTGAAATGAATGCTGCAAATGGAAAGGTCTATCTTTTATGGTTTTAGGGAAAAGGAAAAGGCAAGGGAGAGCAGAGGACAGTAAGAAGGGACAATTGCTTATTAATCGGTTTATGTTAGTATTCACCCTGCTCCCAATTTTGTCAGAAATCGCATGCCTTTCTAAGAACTGTTGCTTTGTTTCTCCCTCTCTCAGCTGGCTATTACATTATCCTGCTGGCTCCCTGTAACATATTGCCAGAGAAGAGGTGATTTGATTAATTTCCAGAAAGTAAACACAAAGCATGAGAAAGCCAAATGTATTTTTGTTGGCTTTGAGGATCTGAAAGGGCTGCAGTTGCGGAATGTCCACTGGCCGACTGCTATTTACTCATCCAGCATGGTTACTCTTTTATGTTTGTCTTTGCTCAGTGTGCTTTTCTAGTGGTTTTATGGGCGATTTAGGGCAAATGAAAGAGCCTTATATACTGTGAAGAAAGAAGCTGAGTATAAAATGGTGCTAGTTGGAAGCGCTATAATCAGTCTTTCATGTATTCGTGTTTACCCAATATTACTTGAAAACGCTGTGTATATTCTGAACGTGAATTTCACTTTAATCCTTTGTTCTGCATAGGACACTTCCCATTTGGACTTGTTTAAGAGAATGGTCTGTCTTTAGCGCTGTAGAGGAACTTTTCTCTTTTCCTTCGGTACCGGTGGGGAATGTCACAGGTGACGTGTGATGCTAATTCTTGGATAAGTGGGTAGAACGTGTTCTTGGCCACCAACCTCCCAATGCTGCCTGTGAAAGTCCTTTCTCCCAGCTCTATATCTGACACATTTAAGTGACCTAAAGTAGCAAAGGGAGCTAATACGTGCCAGGAAATGGAGAGAGAAACCTACTGCGGCAGGAACTTTGGGTAGTGGAGGCTATTAATAAAAGAGTAATAGCACAGTGAGTTTCATGACCTATCTAGAGATTAAAAGAATTATCACATACGCATGCAGATAAAGGTAGAGTGGAGTGAAAAAAACAGAGGAAGAAACTGTTTTGCTGGGTGGCTACTATAATTAATTCAGAGCTAGGCCTGGTATTCAGTGCTAAAGGAAAATGAGTTCCGAGCTTTGCTATAGACCAGATGTGAGCAGTGCATATATTCATAATAAAGTTGGTCAAATACAAAATTACCTTAACCACATAGCAGCTTTATTACTGACACTTCCATTGTATGTTTGGGTTATATAATGGTAGTCATGGCAGTGGACTAGAGCCAAGACCAAAACAAACTTCTTGTTAAAGAACCTGGAGTGAAAAATATCTAATAGCTCCCAAGACACCTTTGACCTTTTAAGATGGCTTAGTCAGATGGCTTTTAGCAGTGATGAAAGGCAGAAATCCTGCCTCATGTGGAGGCCTCAAAGAAAGCTGGATAAAATGAAACTGTTCTCAGTATAGGTTTCTAGAAGGAAAATAGTGTATTTTCATGTATGTGGTACCCATCCATCCTCTTCACTGTAGGGTGGGGATTTTTCTTGTCAGGGTGGGGTAATATTTTGTGTGGGTTAACAAAGCACATCCAAGCTTCTGCCAGTGTATGTCAGTCCTGAACTCTCAAGTCACTTGTAAGAGTAAACTGCCAGGATTGTTAGAAGTTGTGGAGAAAAATGAGAGAGTAACCCCGTTACTGTAACGTGAGTGAATTAAGATAGCATTCTAGGTTTAGGGTTAGTTTTACAAACTAGTCGGTGAGTAAACAGACTCCTTCTGGGATACATTCTTATTAAATCTGAACCTACAAATTGTAGTATAGCGTATGTACACCATGCATGTATATTACACATAGAGTGTGTACTGTACTTTCAGAGGTCATTACAGCTTTTCAAGGGTAAAAAAGAGAATCTGTTGACTAAATCACTTGGAATCACACTTTCCCATAGGCTCTTAAAAACCTCTAGCTGAGAATTCACTAATGTAGACTGGGTTGGTATTTTCCAAACAAGGTAGCTACTTATGATTGCAGCAGTCTGGCAACAGAAAACCTCAACACGAAGAAGGAAAAAGTGAATAGAAACTTAGCCTGATGCTTAGAATCCTTTTATGCCATGTGCTTCGGGCCCTCCAAATAGCCAGCATCGGCTTTGCCCAATTGTCACAGAATGGATTTAAGACCTTGAGCACAGACAGATGCTGCAGCTCTGGCTTCAATGTTCTTCCTAGATAGTGCTTTGAATATTGGCATAAAGCATTCTTGCAAGCATAGCCGAGAGAGTCTGAAATCCATTTCTTTGATATATTTATTGCCCTGAAATAAGTCCGGTCTCCTGACCACATGCATGTCTGAGAAGCAAGAAACAAATAACAGCTCTAATTTAAATGAGGTGGCTTTGTAATCTGATTCCTGCAGAAATTAGCTTCTCTACTCATCAAGCACAAAGCCATGCAAAGACATAGCTTATTCCCAGTTGTCTATTGAGTATCTTTTGTCCGTGTTCATTTATTCCATAGGCATCAAAGGAAGATGTAATACATATGTTCACATCAATTTCCATTTAATGGTCTGTTGCTCATAATGTCTCTGCATTAAATTAGGAAATTTGGAACATGTCTGCCTTTGAGGCTGCAGGGAATAATGCTCTACTAGGAAGCCTGAAGTACTAGCTGCGCATAAAATCTTGGGAGAGTTTTTGCGGCTTACGTGTTGGATTGAAAGGAGGTTTGTGGCTGGTCATTGCCGGGTGCAGAAAGCGGGAGACCACAAAAAGCTGTTTGTCTAGGCACAATGGCAATAGTCTGCTCTAAATACAGGTTTGAGAATGTGTGCGGTGGGTCAGATCCCATATATCGTCAGGGAGCTGAAATGGAAAATGATTTTATCCCCTCTGTTTCAGAGCTGTGTCCACACAGGTTTTTGCAGACTGACGTGAATTTACTTGGCCACTGGTCAGTTCAAAGCAAAGCTAATAAGCCTGGAGTAACTCTGGACAGTTGCTGGAATTTGGGTTGCTGAGCATGTTTAATGATAAGCTGTTCTCGGAGGTCTGGGTTGCTAGCTCAGTTCGATGAGCTCATGTTTGCCTTCCGAAGATAGCGTAGACGTACCGAGTTCCAGGAGACGCTGCATTTTTCTGCTCTCCTGGCCAGAGACATGTGGTCATTCCCTATCCCAGTTACAGCTGCCTGAGGCCATGTTCAGATACTTATTCAGCATAAGCACTCAGTGTTTTTACAATGTACTTGAGAGCCTCAATGCCCTCCAGCCCTTTAAATGGGCTCTGATAGGTCCTCTGATATGTTTGAGACCAGAAGTTGCTTTTCTTCTGGAGAAGATGGAAATTGAAAAGTCAGCTGGTTATGATGGCAAATGTCCAGAAAGGACATAATCTTACATTGGCACGTGAATGAACTGGAAGCACATTACAAGGCCTCTCTTCTCTTCGTTTTTATTTGTAGGAATGTGTAGCAACGTTTTAATCCCAATAAATTATCCTTTTAGGACTCTTCTGAATAGACCAGCTGCCAGTAATTAAACAATGAAGTCAGTGCACTATCTATCAGGTCCAACAAGTCTAGCCTTTAAAACAAATACGCCCCTGGGTATTGGAACCAAGAAGCCTGGTTTCCTATTTGCCTTTGTGACATATTTGAGCTCTAATTTGGATTATAACTGGGTGATATTCAGGGAGGACTGATCTCACGCGGATGCCTTTCCCTCAGTGAGAATGCTAGAGGGATCTGTTGCTTTCTGACCTGCCTGTGTTAATAAAAGTGATACTAGCTTAATAGCTCTGACGCTTTGCTGCCTCTGTCAAATTTGACTGCATCCATCAGAGGACTCGCAAGGCGTTCAGGGAAGAGACAGCGAGTTGGGAGACTGAGGCCCACGCAGGCATGGTAACTACATAGTTGTCACTTGCTGGGAAGTTGGGCCAAAAATATCCAGCTGTGGCCATAGTGAAGTGCAGGAGTATCCCCATTGCTGAAATTATGATTTAACGGGTAAGCCAGGAAATGCCCTGACATTAAGGCTGGAAAATCATGCCATAACTACCTCACAGCATGTTGGAAGTCCTGAAGATCTGAGTAATAGACTGCATGAGTAAGCACTGGGATCTCTGTCATCTGTGTGTGTGTTGTTTTTTTGTTTTGAGTTTTTTTTTTTTTTTTAAGATTAGAAAAGCACCTGCCGAGAATGTCTTATTATATTTCAGGCTGGTCTAGATGAGTTCTGGAGGTCCTGACAGGTCTGTTTTCTATTATTCTATGCCAAACATCTCCAAAGAAGCATAGCATCAAGCAGTACAAAAATAGGCTATTTTGCGCCATCCGTTTCTGTAGCAGGGGGGTTTCTTGAGAATTTTGCTCTCAGGTCAGGGCACGTCAATTAAAATATGCTGATTTTGCAACAATAGGCCAGACACCAATGGTGAGCTGTAATCTAGTCTCTCTTCCTCCACTAATTGCTGTTGGTTGACTCTCTTGACCTAATAAGCTTGAGAGGAAAAACTGACCTGTTTTTTTTCTCTCCCCACCCTCCACAGACTTGGGATGATGAGCTGGAAAGATCGGCCCATGCTTGGGCTCAGCAGTGCATCTGGGACCACGGGCCTAGTGTCCTCATCAGGTCAATTGGACAGAACCTGGCGGTTCACTGGGGCAGGTAAGAGCTGGGAAGCCACAAGCTAATCGCAAAAAGTAATGTAAGGATCCTCCCTGAGAGGCAGAGTAAAAGGTTTGCCTGGTTGTTGCTTAACAGGGTGCTGGGGAGACAGGAGAAAAGGTGAGGAGCAATAACTGTTATTACTTCAGTGAAAGGGGGACAGTAAAGACATCTGCAGTGCCCTTCAGCTGACTATTCCCAGCAAGCCAGCTCTGATTCTGGTTCCTTCATATATCTAAATCTCAGGTCATGATGTGCCTAAGGTCACTCACGCCCATTGAGAAGAACAGCTATTGAACCCACCGCCTTTGGTCCTCAATCTGCTGTTTCGGGGACAGCTTCTGGCAGCACACTGAGAACCAACTGAAATCTCTCAGAAACAATGTCTGGATATTACTGCTCGTTCACCACTCATTGCTATAGATCTTTTGAATGTCTCTCACTGTATTTCCCATAGATATATATCCAGCTGCTAGTTTCTCTTTACTCTTTACCACTCCACGTTTTATTTTGTCCTTCTGGGGAAAGTTTTTAACCTAGGGTTGGTATCCTGGCTAAGAATGATTAAGTTAAAGCTTCCAAGTGGCTTTGCCTCTCCACACCGTGGTGAAAAGTGTTTATAGGTTAAGCCTGCTTTGCAAAGCAAATGTTTTGTTTGTGCTCTGAAAACCTAATGAGCTGAAATGAAGTTACGCTTGTTGTGAATCAGGTAGAACTTGGTTGAAAGCAATGGAAATTTGCTGGTGTGAAATTAGCCTGATATAAAAATTGGGCCCATTTTTGTTGGCAGAATTAAATAATGATTGGAAAGTAGAGTGGTTAATCCATTGGGAACAAAGTCAAAAGATCAGGCTGTTCTTGGCTCTCCTACAGGCTTTCAAGATGGCCACAGTTATTGATGGAGTTAGATCCAATCTTACTCCCCTTGCAATCACTGAGAGGAAAAAGAGATCATATTTATCTCAATTTTTTCAGGAACTGGCCATAACTTGATTGCCTCAATTTCCTCTTTTGTAAAATAGGATTCGGAAAGTATTCACTTAATGATGACATGAGATTAACGTTTCTAAAATACTTCTAATGAATAACTTTTAATGAAGAGCTGGCTGAAAGAACAAACTACAGTTGGTAATGATATCATTTGTATTTCTGGCTGCTTGCTTCATGTGAACTGTTGAAAGCAATAAAAAAAGCAGTGGGTTTGAAGAGCAGTTCTAGTCTGACACAGAGTTTGCAGATTGCTCTGCTTGCTCCTTGTGTACGTAGCATGCAACGCGCATGTTTCTCTAGGCCATAACATCATGCCCGTTCCCCAGACAAGCACAAGTAATGTCAAAGGTGCCGCAGAGTGCAATATTGTGTGCTTAGCTTGTGCAAAGTATGTGCCACGCACGGAGGAGTTGGCTGCACAGGGAAATTATGGCAGTCAAAGGTGGGGCACATTAACAGTTTTGCACTAACACAGCTGTGATGTGAGTATGGAAAAGCTCACTCCATTTTCAAAGGCCTTACCGTATTCACTGCTAATGTACTTCCAGATTTAGCAAACTGCCGCATGGCAAAACAGGTACACGATGGCTTTCAGTTTAAGATGTTTGGCAAACCTTAACTTGTGTTTACTTTCAAAATACACTTTTCTGCCAAACTAGAAGTTTTTTGTGATCGAGTGGAAAAGCCAGGAGGACATTTCAGGTCAGCGGCATTTGAAGAGAGTGTCAAACCTATAAATAATACAGTCAGACTGGGCTGTGAATTTGGGGAAAGAAATAGTCTTTAAATTTTTTGATGAGATTTCTTTTTTTTCTTCTGATCGTAAAACCACGTTACTGAGTTTTTTTAGCTAGCACCTCCTCAAAGAATGAAACTTGCCTTAAGAAAATGTTCAGTTAGTTTATGCGTAGTAAAAATTGTGCTAAAATTCTGACGTTACGGCATGCCAGGAGGCTACAGATATTGTCTGAAAGCATCTAAAAGAAGTTGATGCTCTAAGCTGTGATGGTTTTGATCTTTCAGGTATCGCTCTCCAGCCTTCCATGTCCAGTCTTGGTATGACGAGGTTAAAGATTACACATACCCGTATCCTCACGAGTGCAACCCCTGGTGCCCAGAGAAATGCACCGGATCTATGTGCACACATTACACTCAGGTAAGGGAGACGGAGCGCTTTGGCATCTATATTCTCTCTGTCCCACCGTGGCCTGTTTGTCACTGAAGTATTGGCTTGATGTGCCCGCAGTGGGCTAGTTTGCTCGTTTTAACCAGCAGTGTTGCATTTGCAGATAGTCTGGGCCACGACGAACAAGATTGGCTGTGCCGTGAACGTCTGCAAGCAGATGAACGTCTGGGGAGAAATCTGGGAGAACGCGGTCTACCTGGTCTGCAACTACTCACCCAAGTAAGGGAGATCAGATGGGCTCTCCCAGCTTTCCTAAAGCCGCGTGCTGGCAGGTTGCTTAACTCACCCAGAATCTGGGGAAGAGATTTCAAGCAGTCTAGACTGGTGGTTGTGGCTTTAAATTTTTTCTTTAGACTGCAGCACGGAGCTGGTTCAAGCCTTCTGAGCGTTGCCTGGAAAACTGAATGAGGGGCTGGGGCCAGGCCGGAGCTTTGATGTCACTGCCATGGGAAGGAGGAGCAGGAGATGGCGAGGACGGAGCTGGGGGAGATCCCTGCCAAGCGAGGCTCGCTCTCGCTGCTGCTCGGAGGGTGGGAGGGGATAGGAGCGGTGATTAATGCTCCTTAGTGCCGCTGGCCTCGATTCCAGCAGTAGCCTCCATGCCCCGTCCCCGAGGCTGGCACAGGCGAAGCAGGCTGTGGTATCGTGACAAATTTTCGCCCCCCTGCACAGTCTACGGTTTTAAGCAAACTGCTGCTCCATGCAGTCAGCCCTGCCCCAGCTGCTGGTAGAAGCCACCTGAGTTTGGAGCCGTTGTACGAGGAGCTACATAAAGATGGGTCCCTGGCCTGGTGACGTTCCTGTGATTTAAAAAAAAAAAAAAAAAAAAAAAAAAAAAGGAAATAAAAAAAAAAAAAAAAAGAAAGTGAAATAACTGCAGGGGTTGAGATTTAGCCAGCTTGATAGCTTGATTAAGTTTAAAAATGAAACTTGCATTTAAAACCCTGGAGTACTACATCTGGAAGAAGTTTCCTGCCTTCTGGGTAGCTGGCAATTGCAATTAGTATTTTCTGTTTTAATGACTCATATGAGAGGTGTTTCCACACCGGGTCGCTGGCAATTCACAACTGAGAGAGCATCAAAAAGAAATAGGGAAATTATATATATTATATACAAATGGAGCAGCTTGGAGAGCATCTGAGTTCTGGAGTCCGTAGGGCGTAATAACATGGGGGAAAAAAGCCATGGAGGTACGGAGCCGGGCCACGAAACCCAGCCGCTGGAGCCTGTAGTGCAATCCAGGCAGAAGCTCGTGGGTTGGGTTGTCTCACACGAACCCTTCTCCCCACTTAAGATACTAAGTGTGCTATGCTCCTTTACGGTTTGGAGGGATTTAATAACCAGTCCTCCTACGGGATCCTGCTATAGCCCATGGAGTTCCCGTAGTAGGTTGGACTCCTGTGCACGTCATCCATTCAGGGCTGCTGGATGGAAAAATACTCTATTTCTGCAGTTTCTACTTTAATGTCTTCTCTCTGGCTTCAGTGTACGCTGTCCTCAGCTAGCCTTATAGGTGGAGACAGCTGAAAGAGCAATAACCAAAGGGTTCGTAGTCACAGGCTGAACTCTGCCTTCTTGAACCTTCTCAGCCCCTAATGTTTATCGACACAGAGGGCCAAAGATGCCTTTTGTTTCTGGGTAGTTTCTTGAGAAAATACAGTCATCCATTGACTTACGTCTGTTTACGTAAGATCGCAGTGTTTGTATTAGTTCAATGTGAAGGTGGTATTACTTATGTGTATACGAATGTGCAATTCATTCAAATAAACCCTGCAGAAAATGTTTTCTTGGAAGTGAAATCGGGGGAAAGCTTTCCTTGCAAGGCTTTTCTGGGCTAGCTGTTTAGTTTTTGCTTAGTTCCTCTGGGCTAGGGCAAGAGCTAAGGTTTCTGCACCCTCAGAAGCAAAACTGGGGGCTTGGGGACAGCTGGTTTGGGCAAGGAGAAAGCACAAAGCACTCTTCTGCTTCCCGGATGATCTGGTGAGCCCAGGGCACTCTTATTTTTGGTGTCTCAGGCTGAGCCGTGTGCTTTTCTGCTTGGAAACGGTTCCAGATGGAAAATGGGACAGCTTTTAAATGGAAAGAGCTGTGCTCCGGCCTGGCCGCGGAGCTGCCCCAGGGGGTTGGAGAAAACGGTGGGAGACTTGTGGCTCTGGTGGCTTTGGCGAACGCGCGCCAGAGAGCCGACGGCAAGAGCTAGTCAGCCGCTACCCCGCCGGGGAGGAGGAAG